CCCAGCAGTGCCTCCATTTATGTAGCCCAGTTATTCCCTAGTTTAATCAGGGAAGGGCCCTGAGTTCGTTAACTCAATAAATCTAATTTACAATGAAGAATACATAAGGTAATGTTGTCTTATTTCTCTTAAACAATTTTAATGATCTAATAATTCGAAGATGGACAATATGCTTCAGCATGTAACCTAATAGATTTACTTCATAAAGTTTGACTAAAATGTTATAATTACATTTGTTGAAAACCACATAATTGCACAAGAGAAAATCTTCAAAAACACTGTTTATTACAAATAAACAAAACCCCATTCCATTATAAAAAGCAACATAAGTATAATTTAAGTTTCCCTTTATTCGCAAACCCATATCTTGTAAATATTATACCATTTAAGACTACCTTCTTTGTAGAAGGTATTTTCTCAGTAAATACAACAATACTCAGTGTCATGTTTCAGAGCATAACAGACAGAAATGTAAACATGGATCTGAATAAATAATTAAATTGCGAAAAAGGTAGCCTGTGTTTTTTCTTTTTCTTGCAAAAGCAAAAATACGCAACTGGTAGGCAAAGACAACTGACGCTGCTTACATCCAACAGTCTCAGCCTGGAGTGTTTGAGCCCTGAGGTCGCAGAGCGGCGGCAGCTTTGGGTATCAAGTCGGGCTGCTGCGTAAAGCCAACAGTCCCCTCAGACACCTGGGTCTGTTAAAGTTATCTGTGAGAGCCCAGAGGGTTCAACCGTCAGTGGCCAGGATCAGCACAGCGCCGAAGATACCCACATTGTGCCCGATCAGCTTCATCTGGTTCCAGAACTCCACCTTGCGAGAGTTGTGCCAGTAGCCTAGGTTGCCGTCGATGAGCAGGATCACCAGGGGCAACACCACGGCCAGGACCTGAGCCGCCAGGCGGATGTACCAGCCGGAGAGGAAGGCCAGAGCCAGCACCCCGAACAGAACCTCCAGCAGGGTCAGCGTGATCTCCCCCCCCACGATGTGCTCCACATAGGCCATTCTGTCCTCTTTGCTGTTCTGAAGGGAGTACACCTGG